TTTCCTTCTCTAACGAGTAACACGTCGCTTCTTGGTTATAGGTCGCTTTGTGGAGATAGACCCATGTTGCTGGATGCGCCTGACGGGCTGTGGTGCCTCAAAACGACCCATAATCCAGCAATTTTCGGAAGAGTGCGACACTGGATGGGCCGGCCAAACCTACACCTAGAAATGCACCACCAAACGAACGCTAGCAAAGAGCAAACAGCACGGCCAAGTCTGGAATTCACTCAAAATGGCAGAATATTGGCAGATGTACACGTTCTCAATACTCTACAAATAAGACGCGATCATAGCTCGGCAGCTGACACTCATATCGGTCTGGAACGCCAAGTTCCTGAAATTTTGTTACTTGACGTACACTTCACTGTCCGATTGATGCAGAACTTCAACAGCGAATCATCCAATAAGCGCAGCAGGCAGCCCATGAGCAGCGAGGTCAGCTGCAGCCCCGACCTAATCCTGTAAGGTTCACCACGATCCTAGCAAAGGACAGCTGCTCACACAGTGGCCGGTGGCGCTTCCTCCCGGGCCCGCCTCCTCTCCATCTCCGTCCGCATGGGCGCCAGCGCATCGTCCGGAGTCTTCGAGTCTGCCGCGTGCCGAGCTGCCGCTTCCTCCATTTGCAACTGCCGGTACAGATCCCGTGTTTCAGCGTCCGGCAGCGCCGAGTCGTCGATGCCCCGGTCATCCTCGGATGTGGGCTCTCCGTCGGACTCGGTCTCGTCTGATGTCTCTTCGATGTCGAAAGAGGCACCCTCTTGATCAGACGTCGCGGCAGCTTCCTGCAAGGAACGTCAACGGATCAATTCATGGACGCTGCTCAATTGCGGTCGGTAAAAGCTGGCAATAGGGATCTGCTTGCAGAGAATGGTGAGCCCAACCTGGTGCTTAACACGGCAATGAAGGCAAAAAAAATGCCTGGCGCCGGGTTCGGCCTGACCATGCCTCACTGCCTCTCCTCAAACGCGCACGCAGCACACGATTGCTCACCGCTTCGTCCGGGCTCCCGGTCCGTATCCTAGTACCGCTCGGCGCCAGAGAGCTTTCCCTGCTCGGGGCCGTCCTCTTCCGACGCGCGACCTCCTGCATCCAAGCATCAGGACACTCCCATTTCAATGCAGGGCTCTCCAGAACTTAGGGACACACCTCGACGCTCAAAGGTCATCATAATCATGGCCTGTAAAACCGAGTTCACGGGCCGCTTCGCTCTTTCTCGCCCTCTGACCGCCGAGGATAGCGCGATCTTGAAGGCTGTGCACGACTACCGCCCTCAGGATGGCTTGAAGCTACCCTCTGCGGCTCCGGGTCAAGAGCGCCCGGTCAAGATCGTGCGGAAGGGAGTCAACCCCTACTACGGTGGGGAGGGATGGCACATCTTCAAAGAATTTCCCTCATTCGACTGCCGTTGGACCGTCTCACGCGACAGGCGCGCACTTGTCTGGGACGAGAAGGGTCCCTTCTACAACTACGTCAGCTGGCTCGAGTACCTCATCTCCCATTTCTTTGCGGTATGGGGAGTACAGCTGAGCGGGACCGTCACATTGAAGGGTAGCCGTTTGGGCGACACGGGGTCAATCACGGTGAACGGCTACCAGATCTTCGTCAAGATGACCCCAATCGTGGCAGTGCGCATCGCTGAGGGATCATACGACTACCCGAACGAGGCATTTTTCGACTACACGAAGGAGGAGAGACTATTATACTCACCGTAGGCGCAACCTCAGTAGCAACGGAGCGAGGCTGGCTGGCAGAATGCGGGTCGCTGCTGGAAGGGCCCGTCTCCTGCGAGACAACGAGGGGATGAAGGGTTTAGGGACAAAGGGCGCGCGGACGATCCGATTTCGACCATGGACACAGGCTTAGGGAAACGCTTTGGCCCTCGAAGGGCATCGGATCATGGGCTAGGACACCAAGTTTACCGGCCGCTTTGCCTTTTCCCGCCCCTTGACTGCCAAAGAGAGCGCGATCTTGGCAGCAGTGCACGAACACCGCCACGAGGACGACCTGGAGCTACCTTACGCGGCTGACGAGAATCGCCCAGTCAAGATCGAGCGAGAGGTGATCAAGCCCTTGTATGTGGGCGAGGGCTTCGACTACTTCACGGAAAAGTTCCCCTCTTTCTACTGCCAATGGACCCTGTCACCCAACAGGCGCGCTCTTGTCTGGGACAAAGGGGAAAAGTTCTACAATCACGTGAGCTGGCTCGAATACCTCATCTCTCACTTTTTCACCGTATGGGGAGTGCAGCTGAGCGGGACCGTCAATTGGAAGGGAGCCAATAGGGACGACAGAGGTTCGATCACGGTCGAGGGTGATAGGATTATTGTCAAAATGCCTCTAGCCCAGAAGGACTCACCGTAGGTGTCCGCTCTGTAGCAGCGGGACGGGGATTGCTAGTAGGATGCGGGCCGCTGGAGGAGGGGCCCGTTTCCTGCACGACAGGGGGAAGGCAAGGGGCTTAGGGGCAGATGACACGTAGAGTAGGCAACTTCAAACGATGGAATGGTACTTCAATTGGGGTGCGATCCAGACCCCGGAGCAGATCAAGAGGGTCTTTGCTCTCGGCGCCAAGACCGATCCAGAGACTTTGAGGGCAGCAGCGAGCTTCCAGGATGCAGCCGCAGGTGCGATCACCCGCCTATACAAGAGGGGCACATGCAACGACCCCAGGGATCTCTCCTGGCCGTGGCTGTTTCGATGGTTCATGCAAGCGGGGGGGGTTCGAGGCCTGGTCGAGCGACGATGTTATTGAATTCTTCGACGAGTTTATGAGCAGTGAAGTAGGCAGATTTGAGGAGTTCAAAGGCAAGATTTCAAAGCGCATCTGTCGCGCCGCACTTGAGGACTGTCGATGTGGGCACTGACCTCTCTACTGACGCTTGGCGCGGTCGGCGGGTCCTGCCACTGAGGTCGAGCAGGTTGCACTGCAGAACGGTCCATCACCTCTGCCACCCAGTTTGGGTTCGATTGCTGAATAAGAAAGGAATGCACGAGTCAACACCCAGTCCATCGACTCTTCCCATATGCCAGCTCTCAATACGCATGGGTGCAAACGAATCAACGTGCTCAATGACAGCATGATCTCACACATGTCGGACAGCGACAGCGACTGGAACTCACGCTTGCTCGCCACGCATCAAATGGCTCGATGCTGACTGGCTTTGACCTGACGCTCTCCTGAACCTCCTGCATGACATGTATTGCCCGATTATTCGTCATTCGTGAATCACCCGGTCTATATCGACGCTCTGTGGATGCCGGTGAGAAGGGGCATGGTGATTCTGGGAAGTGGCACTTGTGGCCTGGCGGTACTTCGTGCAACCCTGAGATGGAGCCTGTATGAGGCAGAAAGGAACTTTGCTGACTAAACACTCACGTCCGCGGTCGGAATGGGAATCAGGGGCCGTCCGGACGAGCTGCTCGAGGCTCGGGATCGTGTGTGGGCCACCCCGGGTTGCTCTCCACGCCCCCGATCATCAGCTGTGTCGCTGCATTGCACCAAAGGAATCCCTCAGGCAATCGTGCTCAGAATGGCATGCCAAATGTTCAAGCCAGACTCGCGCATTCAGAGTCTCATCTGTAAAGCCGGCTGAAGCATATTCCTGCCAACAAGTGCACGGGATGTGCAACCGTACCTATTAGCGCCCTGCTCTTTGGTGCTGAGGAGTAAAAGACCTTCTCCGACCCGCCCCCAAAGGCTGCAGAT